GTATATCATGGTGTACACAATCAAAAGCCTTGGAAAGGTCACAGAATAGACCAATAGCATCATGTGAGACTTCCCATGCATCAAATATGTGATTAATCAACTCGACACCAGCATCGGTTCTAGAGCGACCCCGAGTGAAACCAAATTGTTTAGGAGACACAGAAGTTATTACTATAAAAATGTGCACACATCTGATTTAGAATAATTTTTTCAAATATTTTACTGAGAGTTGGTAGTATTGATATAGGTCTGAAATTGGTGGGGTCAGAATTTTAATATATGACATTTGTTAGCATGTCCCTGACCTTGTGAATATAATGAATTATCATCTATTTCATATTGACAATATCCCAATTTTTTTTACATACGCTCATAGCCCCACACTAGGGAAAGTCTGTATCGCGGATGCCATGGTCACGCACATAGATAACCACAAATTACACCCAAACTCACGATACAAATAAATGTACGCCACAATTTTTTTTTCTTCCAACCCAGGAATTGTACCTGGGACCTCTGGCATACCAGCATGGTAACCATTGGGCCACTGTGTGTTATAATTTAAAATACAATGACAAGTGCTAATAACATTATGGTCACTAATAAAAATAATATCAAAATACCACGATATTATAAAAAATAAAACTTACAACATCGACAGAAATTCATCAATACCGCAATGTGATAATTTTTACAACAACATAAGTGGAGTCAACTTATAACATCCAAGTGTCATTGCAAATGGCAGCAAACTTGCAGCCGAATACACGCCCCGGGAGCGCCCCAGAAATAAACACGTGTGTTGGTTATTTAGACGGTACGTAATTCAATTTAGGAGTAAAACGTTTATTTGTTGTAACAGAAACTCTGCTCATTCTCATTTTGAGTTCAGTTAACCGTGAAGTAGAATTCAGTTAATTAGTGCTCCCCTGACATTGGTATGGTTAAGCTTCGTAAGCAGCAGACTTTATATCTCAATAGTGCTCTAGCGCTGTATCAAACCGTAAAGGGTTTCAGTAATGTGAATACAAGTCCGGTAAATGGAAAATATTTTATTTGCCCACAACACTTCAAATGTTATGTCAAGATTACAATGGTTAAGTATCACAGTTTAGTTCAAATTACCGTGAAGGCACTTGAAGTTCTACACCTAAATCTATATCTATGACTGCCTCTGTGGCCGAATCGTCACCATACTGGTTCATGGGCCGGGAGAAATATTTGAATGTTCTACATTTATTTCTCTCGCGAGTTTGAGTGTGTCTGTGTGTATGTCTATGGCACCTGCAATACAGGGTTTCCCTAGTGCGGGGCTGAGAGTGTATGCACGTGTGCGTGTGCGTTGTACTCTTTACCTTACATCGAAAACATCACGAAAGATTTCAATATTTTGAGAAGATTTTACTTTAAACATTTTACTTTATACGGGCGTGTGACCTGCGAACTTAATCTCATTAAATGTAATCAGTTTTTCATATAAAATTACAAAGTTTCGTACAGCCGATGCTATATCGTGTCTTCTTCTTTTTGCTTATTGGCGGTGCTTGTTTTAGGATTTTGCCATCATCAAGTTTGTAAAAATAATAATATAATACGGGCGAAATAGGGTATTAAAGTTAGTGTAGGTATTTTTTAACGCATGGTGCGATTTGCTTCAAACTTGGTTTTACACTTTAAATACATAATTGTAACTTTTTCATTGAAAAATAAAAACCGAATTGTCAAAGAATTTTCAAAATCGGTCCACGATTGACGCAGAAATCGTCAGTACACTGACATGCCTATAAAATTTGAAGATTTTCCTCGATTTCCTTGGGATCCCGTCATCAGATTTGAAATTGGTGACTATAGAATAGAGAGTGCACCGTTTCAAACAAAAAAAAGAAATTTCGAAATCGGTCCACAATTGATGGAGAAACCGCAAAACATACTTAAACATACATACCGCCGAACGTTTAACCTCCTCCTTTTTTGAAATTGGTTAAAAATTACAGTGAACGTTGCCAATGCCAAGTTTAGAATCAAAGGTCTTGTTTTGCAGGTTTTGGCTTCTGTCCCACTGAGGACAATTCTACCAGTGTCGTTTTGGTAATTGTTAGGACGTTTTCCAGTGAGGGTGTCAAAACGTACAGTTGTAACATTTCTGAGATTTTGTCACATTTTTTCAAGAACACCATGTTTTAGAGAGGTACGGTGCTTTATAATGTTATACTGTCTTTCATTGTAGTGTTTGCTTAATATGTGGAATTAAAAAGTTAACAACTGTCAAAGTCAATCACCGAGCATAAGACTTAATGCCTATAAAACATAGTTATTAGTTCCTAACAAAAGAAAAATTCGCCAAGACTTGGTTGGTATAGTTTAAAACCTTCGCTCTTTTCTTAATGGAAAGAATTTAAGAAAACACACTTATCGGCCACTCTGCCGACGCATAAATTTGGCATTAAAGTTAAAATCAAAGTTACATAAGTAAGTAAAGATTTTTCGATCACCCCCAGCTGACCGATAAACGATTATATTCTGATTACCTTAAAACTTTTATTTTTCTCCCAATATTAGACCTATATGACTGGTCTGATATATCGTAAAAAAAGTCATAACGTGATGTGAAATTGTAACTAAAAATAATTAATTCTTCAGTGAATAACCAAGAATATCTTCAGATATATATAATTCGTTTAATGCCGATTGGCTTTAAAAAGATAGCTGTCCAATATAAACATAAATAAATCCTACAATCCTCTCTAGTTTCGTTCAATCGCCATAAAGCAGGGCGCAGGTGCGCCAGACCTCGTGATTTCTAATCAATGGATTGGGAAGAAGTGATCACTACCGTTCGGACCAATTTCTTAACGTTTGTCTGCAGATGTGTAAAACGAACCCAGTCTTTACAGTAAATGTATTCTTGATACGGTTGGTAAAAAATAACTCAAGATGTTGGAATAAATTGTAAACCTTTTTAATCCATGGCCATTGCAGCCTTGTGAGGCGTTACTTCACGCTGGGACAGATGTCACAACAGTACCCAGCACAAGTCCAATAGGGTACGGACTATTGCTGCCACCTATGGGATGAATCTGCTAAATAATAACTGGCAACTTTGGATTCTAAACCTGTCTTTGTTTATCGGTGATTCGGATTTAGAAGCTTTGAATGCCGCCGTATTGGTGCCTGTATATTAGTATTCTGCCGGATATACAGTCTGGTTTTTATTTAACTAGGACAGTACGGGGAAATTCAAAACCATAGAAGATACAAGGAAACTGTCTGAGGAACCATTAAATCTTATTTTGTGAAAACAATTTTGACATAGTACATTTTTTGGTCAAGCGTGAGTTGTCCGACAGAGAACAAGCGGAGACCGACCAATAGCTCTATGCTGAGGCTCCATACTTTTCATCACTTGTAGCTCATAATTTGTTAGAACATAATATCGTGTAATTGTATATAATAATATAATATATATGTGTTAATTTTAATGGAATTTGGAATACCATGAAAAAATCTATAATCCGTTTTATGTTACACAAGCGGCTAAACAGCCGCTTTCTATAAAAAATTATTCGCTGTTTGATAGAAATTTAGCCACAAGCCGCCGCTGTCTAAGGCAACGTCTGAATTCTTGAATTTTAGTGACAGCAAATATTTAACCGTCCGGTATGTCTCCTTGTAAGGCTGATTTAAATATTTAATATGATCTAAATATTTAAAATCTATATAAAATCAAAACTAGAACACCTGAATATCTTTATGATAAACTAATGTGGTCATCTAGTGTTAATGTACGCTACAGAGAGCGATCTGTCCGATCTTGTGTTCTAATGGTACCACAACATAGAACTACAGCTTTTCGAGGTAGTTTCAAATACTCGGCCTCAAAGTGCTGGAATAATATTCCACCACCTATACGCAACGAGACATCCAAACCCAAATTCAAAGCACTGTACCGGCAACACCTACTCTCACTTCAAAAATCGGTGTAGTGTGTTTTTATTCTTTAACGTAGTCTGTCTAGAATCGAATTTTGTTGTTGCTTTGATCTATTCTTATTATGTGTATAATTATATTATAATACTAATTACATTACACAACATTAAATCCTCTTTACAGTCATAACTTACACCTACAGCTGTAATTATATTCACATTTGCTCATGCACTTATATGTCAAGCAGGTTATTTTAAATGCACTATTTACACTTTACTATGTATATTATTATTGTCAATGTATAACTTTACTCAAAGTCGTTATATTTTTGCTTTCTAGTAACTTAATCCCTCTCGTTGGTTCTGACTGAAAACCAGCGCCTTAGGAAACTTTGGCATATGCTGAGTCAGCGCCGTTTCACTGCTATGACAATCATGTTTTGTTTTTTCTTTTATGCTAAATCTGTATTTGTGTTATATCAGTGAATAAAGTGTTTATCTATCTATCTATCTATCTAACAATGTAAAAAAATCGTAGTCATATTTATGAGAATGAAAGCGTTTATGATACAGATATAAAATTTGTAACAAATGTCACATCATTACTACACTAATAAGAATAGATAAAAAATATTGATTAAAAAATTAAATCATTCAGCGTTATAGAGCCATTCAAATAATACTTACATTGTTTTGTTTTATTTTGTATAACAACTATATTGCAAATCCTGTCTAAAAGGTAAAACAGTGGAGCAAAGAGTCCAGAGGGCCATAATCTACACATAGACCTTACCGGCCGACCATCTTTTTTTAAATAAAATGATACTTTCAAAGATTAAGGTTTAAAAACAGTCCGGAAAACCTACATGATTCCAAAGACGTTATGAAAATGTGAAACGCGTGTAAATTCAAGAACCTAATAACACGTATTTCAATAAAATTTGACTATTTATTTCCGATCGTAAAATATATTGGAAATATTTCTTTTTATTATTATGATTACGTTAACGATGCGAGTGGAAACATTTTTTAAACAAATTCACATAGAAAAATGATATATTGTATTTTGTCCCTAATTCCAGTTGTGATTGTCTGTGATGTTTGGGCAATAAGTAAAATTCATAGATCCTTACGTGACCAGGCTACAGCAGGTTTTGACCAATTCGTAGAATACAACATAACGGAAGCTGTATCTATATTCAACGATTTCAATTTTAAATACGGCAAGAAATATAAAAATGATGCTGTGAAAACGAATACTTTCATTGTTTTTAGAGACAACTTGAGAAAAATAAATTATTTGAATCAGATGTCTAAGACAGCTACCTTTATGATGAATGAATTTACTGCTATGACTATAGAAGATTTTACGAAGAAGTATACGGGTTATAATAGCGCTGCCGCCGGAATAATAAAAGAGAATGTGTCTAGATTTGACTATGATCCTAAGTTTCATTATTCAGATAACAAAGATTATAGACAAGATGGTTTGCTAATGGTAAAACATCAAAAGGACTGTGGTAATAGTTACGTCCATAGTGCTGTTGGTAAGAATTTGTTAGGGGAAGTAATAAAAGTTCCGAAAAACAAACGAAATTGCAGCGAATTGATGTTAACAGTAATACTAACTAAGGTGCGTTAAAATGAGGTACTGAAAAATAAACACAGAAGTATACCGACAAAATTAATCATATTTAGTAAACAATCAAGAGTTTGTTCAAAATACAATTCTACGAAAAAAACTGTAGTTCCAATTTATATACCTCTTAACTTCCGAAATAAATATTAACTTACCAAAAATACATATTTTTCTAAAAGAAATTTACCACTCTGCTGGAACCAGCTTATTTTATATTATTGGTTATAGATTTTCTTTTTTAACTCTCAATTTTAATGAAAATAACTACCGCGATGGCGACGCTTCTTGCAGTTTCAACGCGACACCGTCTTGACAAGTATTTCTGGACGGAAATTAATTTCCCTCACCACTACTTATTTATTACCGGCCCCGTCCACTTATTGTTATATAATTTTAATAATACTTATACAATATTTATAACTATTACATATAATGATTGATCAGAAGTAAATTTTCATATTTCTTAGGAGTTCCTACGTTGTTAATTCAGAATAGTATTTCAGTACGATGGTTATTTAACCAAAGTTTATGTAATGTATGAAATTGCTTTGGAATTTATGATAAAAATGGCTAACTATAGTTATCAGTAAAATATAAATTAAGTTGGTTGAGTAATATTGCATCAGCAAAGTGTTCCGGGAATTTCAGTATTTCACTTGGTTGTTTTTTTATTTGCACAAAAGTTTTTTGTATAAGTTAATTTTTAATTTACTTTTCGGAGTTTTTTTACTACCCATTTCTTAGTAACTTTTGTAATTCGTAGAAGTATAGTTAAGCGATTCTGATGTAGTTAAAATTTTTATGAATTATGATCTTCTTTTCTTTCTTATTTACCCACCAAAATCTCTACATGAACTCGAATATACAACAAATTTCGGATTATTTTAAAATTATTTTATTTGACATACAATACAATATAAAGAATTAAATACAGTTTACTACTTAACGGGGCCCTTTTTGGCCTTTTGGGCCAGTTACAGAAAAATAAGATAGCCCTCGTTAATATACTGCTATAGACCGTAATGATCAAGAATATTTTCTACTGAAAGTCGACAACGATTGAGATACTGCCAATGTAACAGGATTAGTGTCTTACTGCTTAATCCGTCTGTACAACCTCTGTAATATGGACTCATTACATCCTATGAGACACAATTTGGCGAGAACATTTTGTCATGTTTATAAGTATTCGTAGTAAAGTAAATAAATTCAAGGGTAGTGCATAGGCGTAATGTGATGTTAAAGACAGTGCTCTTCACATTTTATTATTACAGGAAACATCGAAGCGCAATATGACAGGAAATACAAGTTACACACGGTGTTATCAGAGCAACACGCATTCGACTGTGAACCATTTGGAAGTTGTTCAAAAGGAGGGGTACCACATCATGTTTTTGAGTATGTCCACCTTTTTTAATTATCCTATTATTTCCCAATGCTGGGCAAATGCCTCTCCTCTCGACTTCCAAAGCTCCGTGTTTGATGCAACGTTAGGCCAGTCCAGATATATATGCATCCAAGTCGTCCCATCATCTCCTTCTTGGTCTGCTTTTTTTCGCCGGCCTTTCTCCAGCACCCACCAAGTGTCTGTGTGAGTCCATCTCTGTAGGTGCATGCAGCGGATGTGTCCAGTCCAGTGGCACTTCAGTTTGGCGATCCTTTTCCCAATATCAACTATGCGTGTCTTCGAGCGCAGAGTAGTAATCCGGATTCTACATAGATAGAAAAAAGTAAAAGAAAGTAAAAAGTCCAAAATCAGAGGCTGGGTAGCCTCTATTAAGTGTAAAAAGGGTTCTTTACACCTAATATGCTGCGTTCCATCGCTCTTTGGCAAACCTTGATTTTGGACTTTTAATGCCTTTGAAACTCACGTCGACGAGTTTTCGGTTAAGAGTGATTGGAAGGTTTCCGTTCATAAGCTCTGGCATAGAGCAGTAGTTCTTCCAGGCGTTATAGAGGCGTCGTTCGACCTCCATATTTTGTCTATAACTGAAACTACCTGACCCAAGTAAATATACTCATCAATATATTGTATTATTTGCCCATCTACACAATTCCGACTCTATGAGAAGTACTAGTTACTATCCAATCTATAAGACAGTTATGATTTTCTATTTAATTACTTGCTATAAGCACGAAACAATTTTCCCAAATTACAGATATCTAGGAAAAAAAGGAGGACTAATGCAAGTAATACATTACCCAGCTGCACGGGACTCTAACAAACAAACATGTCAAACAGACTCAGACAGAATATTTGTTCACTTCAAGAAATACGCCAGGTTTGATATAGACAATGAGCAAATTCTAGCTGCTGCTGTGGATACGTTGGGACCATTGTGCGCAAGTGAGAATTTATTACCCTTAAATATTATCGGCCAGGATTGTAGTATGTAGAAATCGATGGTATCTGTCTATCACACTGGGGACACACGTATAATTGCTTTCTAGCAGAGCAACCATTTCCAGACTTCTTTCTAATCTATAAATTCACACAACTAAAACAACTGTAGCAAAAAATTTGAAATTATGATTGTAGCGAGTTCTTAGGTTTTCGCGATTGTTACACATAGGAAATGAAACTATTTTTCCGGATTTAAATCGCGTATATTTGTTTTTTCAAACAAACCGACTTTCGAATGAATTTTTTATTAAGTTCAATTTAATAACAAATTGAACTTAATAAAAAATTCATTCGATAAAATAATTTGTAAAACTTAATATAGCGTAAATTGGAATGTTTTCTTTGTAAAATTAAAAATAAGGTATTTAATTAATAACTATTGTAACTATAGTGAAAAAATGGGGTGGTTTGCATCTATTAAACATAACTGGTTGAAGACTGTACCACCTCAGTCAACCGTGACCATGGGACCTGTAAAGGGCCCGAAACGTCGGTTGTTTTGTGATTGTAGGTTCCTCTTGTGATTATTGAAGGGATTTATTGTAATTGAAAGTACACTATTTTTTGAAAACTGTAAATTATTGAGACACAATAATTTGTGTTATGTAAATGGGTGACAATGTGTTTTATCATTTCTTGAAAATCAACCATCAAAGAGATGAGACACAGTATGATAAACAAGTATGCCTTCCGTCGATTAATCTCTGACATATTTTGAATGCTCTTCAAAGCAAATTACAGTCTAATTTATATTCCTTGAGCGTAATAAAACATTCAAAACAAAGAATGAAGGCTGTATTATGATTCTAGAAGCCTATAGTGTAACGTACTCTTTATGGAATTTTCTGTACTATGAGTACTAGAGTAACGCAATTCATTCCGAGGCCACACCCTAAACACTCAAACCAAAACCAATTTACAAAAGTTCAGTTCCCAATTTAACTTACCGGAAATCGAACAGGGGACTTAATCATACAGCGCCCACAATGCAAACTGTTGGGCCACTGAGATCGTTGAAGTTCTTGACAACTACCTCTACTACTAATCAAGTCAAACGGTTTGTTAAAGTTTATATAGTGAAATAAAATATTATTTCCTGAGTTTAAATTCTGAAAACTAGATGCTGGTTCTTCTTGTTATCATATCGATGGCATCTTTATGAAATGATTTCTAATTGGCGTAAGGCACTCGCCTATTGTTGCCCAGGGTGTGCCAGACGTACAGGAAAGGAGTGGTACATCGTGCGGGGAGGCTTCTTTCGTGCACCCCACAAGCTGATTATTATTGTAAATAATGCTGCTTGCTGTGTAATGAATGCTGGTTGTAAACGTATTTTTTTTTTGCAGCAATGTTTGTTTCTGAATCAGTAAAAAACTACAAATCTGGGATATTAGATCCGAGGGATTGTAAGAAAAAACCAACAAATCACGCAATACTTTTGATGGGTTACGGAACAGGTTCAATTTTTGTTTTAAAAGTTTTTTCAAAGTGTATTGGTATTTTCTTCAAATTGACTTTCGTCGGCAGAGGACGGCGGCATACCATATTGGATAATAAAGAACTCTTGGGGATTTGACTGGGGAGAAGGAGGTTATCTACGACTGGTACGAGGTAAATCAGCCTGCGGTATTGGAATTGAATATGTTGCCACCGTGATATTAGGTGACGATCTGGATTCAAAATCGGTGAGTGCTATGGCTTCTCATACCATTACGAGTTTCGAACCAACACTCATAAGTAAATTTTGGTTCAAATAATTTCTGAGTTCAACTACAGGTTGGACATTGAAATGTATGGTTCTATACATATAATATTGTTAGTAAGTACGGTGTCTATCTCATCATAGAGAATAAAAATAATTTAAAAAAGTCCGACATTCATTAACAAATTTTGTAGCAGCAGTAGAGCTCCGTATGAAAGAGTTCGTCCAGGTAAGTATTGCCACCTTACCTATTTCTGCCGCCAAACAGTAATGTGAGCATTACTGCGTTCCGGTTTTGAAGGGTAAGGGTGATGGTGAAATTACAGGCACATAAGACTTGTCAACTTAAGTCTCAGATCTTTGCAATTTGAAACTCTGAGCGGCATCGGCACAGCAACTATTTAAAATTTAACGTTTTCGCCATTCGTTGCCGTCATTTTGTACGAGAATCATAATAACATGACAAGAAGGTTTTGCTTTGGTTAACAGACATTGTTGAATAGCGTGCGGTCAGGTATTAATATGGTGGTAGTGCTTGTCTGTCAATGCAGTGTGTGGTATTTAAAAATAATCTACCCTATTAAACCTAACGGCGAGACCTCAAGAATCGTTCCTATAAATTTATCTAAAAGTATAGCCCTACAACCTAACGGTGTGTAGCATAACCTAAGCATAAATATATAGACGGAGAAATATATATGCAAAATATGAACGGGAAGTCTGTCACCAAGAGACCTAAGGTGACACACGGAAGGTTGGAAGGAGGTAAGGAAGTACACGTCGTGCAATGTGTACTGGAATGGTATTCTCACTGCCGGTCAAGCAGTCTCACAAGACCAATCTACTGACGGCTCCTTAGGCCCCCTTGGGCCTTGGCCACAGTGAGAGGAGTAGCGGGTGGTACTAAGCAAGATGATGAGTTTGATTAGTTAAAATCAGATGGTAGTGGATAACTGAGTATATTTACAATTTTTGTTACTATTTATACAATATTTATGACTAATACGTGGGGCGCACTATAAGTTTTCGGAATGAATAAGAAAAAAATACTATAATTGGTCAGAAATGAATTTATTATCTCTCAAAATATTGTCCGTTAGCGGTAATGCACTTTTTCATACGAATGAACCAATTTTGAAAACATTTATGCCACTCCTCCGTGACAATCTCTGAAACATATTTTCATACTCTTCGACAGTCTCTTCAGGTGATTAGAATCGTTGAAAGCGTAACTGGTTTTTAATTTTTGGAAATAAATAAAAGTCACAAGGTGCCAGGTCGGGACTGTACGCGGGATGGCTCATAAGGTCAACGTTGTTCACCTTCAAAAATTCATTTGCCTGTCTGGCCGTGTGAGAACTAGCATTATCGTGGTGCAAGATGATACGGCGTTTACGGTTATTTTTACGGAGTTTGTCAATAACTTCCGGCCAACAAATGATCGTGTACCAATCACTATTCACGGTACAACGATTCTCCAAAGCAACAATAGCCACGTGTCCAGTTTTATTAAAAAAATAAGCAATCACCCGCTTAGAGGCACTTTGCATGCGTGTCACTTTGGTTGGTTTCGGCTCATCTCGAAAGACCTACACGCTCGATTACTGCTTTGTTTTGGAATCGTAACTACAAATCCATGTTTCGTCACCTGTTACTATATCCCACACCAAATTTGACGCCCCTTCGTTGAATCTTTTAAGCATGGCATTACACCAAGTGACGCGATCCATTTTTTGAGCCCCAGTCAAATTGTGTGGGATCCACCGAGAGCACAGCTTTTTCACACCCAAATGTTTGTGTAGTATTGAATGTATTTGACTCATGCCTATGTCTAAAGATGCCCGAATCTCATGGTACGTCACATGCCTGTCTGTTTTGATCATACGGCGCACAGCATCGATGGTTTTGTTGTGCACAGCAGTGGACAGGCCACCATCACGAAATTCTCCACTGAGATTCACACGACCGCGTTTGAATTCTGCAAACCAGCTAATAAATATAAATAGTCGTCTTGCATGGTGCTTCATCGCCAAAAGCAGCTTGACGCCGAGCGAAGCTCCGCTGAGCTGTTAAATTACACTTAAAGTCGTAGAAAATCATACTACCAAAATTTTCACGAGTTAAATCCATGGTGATGTAGAAGAAATAGAAATTTGGAAAATGATGCCACAATGTGAAAACAAGTGACAGTCAGATGAAACAAATTGTATTCTGCAGCCAAAGAGTTCCATTTTCGTATGTTGTTATCACTTTTTAAATATTGTTCATGTAAGTGGCCAGTTCCGGAAACTTATAGTGCGCCCTATGTAGTACATTGTGATAGGTTTTTCTTAGTGCGCTATGTGTGTTGGTTGCCGACGAAGGTCTTTCTGTAAATTATTAACAATGTTACTATGTTGTACATAAGGCCATTTTTTGTGACAGTTTAAATGTATGTTATGATCTTTCGTTTTATTGTTAAATAAGTGATGTTCAAAGTTAAACAATTGTGGTCGATGCATTTTGTTAATTGATGGCTTTTTTGTGTCAAACAGACGAATGCTTGGCCCGAATCTAGTCTCAAATTAAGTTTTGGGTATTGAGGATATGCGGATATACCGTCGGTGTTTGTAGAAAGTATGTTTTAGGTTTTAACGACTGTTTTAAAATATTTACGTCCTGCTTTAAAATTCTATTTTGGTTCTAAGGCGAAAGCGAAAGCTGTAATGCGAGACGGCTTATTTTCATGAATCTTCAGTTGCGCGAAGGTTTAAAAGCGCGATTGTTCATTTGCGCTAATGACGATAGTACGAAGACAAATTTGCGAAAGCTGAAATGCGCGAATGGTTAATCCTACGTTGGTTTATTTGATTCAAGGAAGTTTTAGTTGAGATGTCGATAGTCTGGAATTCTTTCCCCTTCATTTATATACGAAGGGAAGTTGATAATTTATAACATTTTGTATCGAGTTCTTAGGTTTTCGCGATGGTTACACATAGGAAATGAAACTATTTTTCCGGATTTAAATCGCGTATATTTGTTTTTTCAAACAAACCGACGTTTCGGGCCCTTTACAGGTCCCATGGTCACGGTTGACTGAGGTGGTACGGTCTTCAACCAGTTATGTCTAATATTGATGAAAACCACCCTATTTTTTTCACTATAGTTACAATAGTAATTAATTAAATACCTTATTTTAATTTTACAAAGAAAACGTTCCAATTTACGCTACAATAAGTTTTACAAATTATTTTATTGAATGAATTTTTATTAAGTTCAATTTATTATTAATTAATAATAGAAATTAGAATAAACTAAAATATATTAATTAGTACTGCCGTCTTATGTCTGTTTGGGATTGTTCATTAGAGGAAATACTGGATCCCAAACTGGTGGTACTGAGAAACCATCTTCCCTGTTGAAATTAGGATGTTTTTTTAATTTCAATGGCCTCTCGCAGCATCCTGGGTAGATAACGGACTTCTTTTGCAAGGACCTGGGGTTTGTCAAACTTCATTGAATGTGTAGGTTTATCCATGACATGCTCGCAGACTGCAGACTTGTTTACGCGACGGTGTTTGACATCAGCTATATGTTCTTTGACGCGGGTACAAATACTTCGCTTTGTTTGTCCAATATAAGAGAGACCGCACTCACAGTCAAGCTTGTAAACTCCTGCATCCTGTAAGGGGATGTTACATTTCACGGGACTCAGGAACTGAGAAATCTTCCTTAGGGGCTTGAAATAGGTCTTTATAGATGCACGCCTGAGGACTCTTCCAATCTCTCTCTCTCTCTCACGTAAGGTAAGATGGCAGGTCTTCGCTCGACTGTTGGTGGTTTGGTCGAAACGTCGGTTTGTTTGAAAAAACAAATATACGCGATTTAAATCCGGAAAAATAGTTTCATTTCCTATGTATAACATTTTGATTTCAATTAATCGACCTCATAAGTTCGTGGGATTCAAATATATGTAATTTCACAAACTTTTGAGGCCGGTTGTTTTTTTTTTAAAGTTTGTTCTTTTACTATTGTTTGTTCGTTTCATTGATTTCATTTATCTTTGTTTTGTTTGATTGATCAAAAATAAAGATTGTTTTGTTCGTTTAATTGAAATGGCTTTATTGAACAAATTTGTGTGCGTACATACAAAGATACTATTATCGTTTATTATTTATAATGATTATAGTGGCAACAAACCACGTCTTTCTTTTAAACAAGTGTCTTAAGAACCACTAACAGTGATCGGAACTGCGGGAGTTCATCTACCTAAAGTTCATACTTGTATTGTATTACCCAATTCGTCATCTTTATTTACTGTCTATTTTCGAAATATTCCAAAATATACGTTACTTTATGTTTATTTTTGAAACGGTAAAATTATTTCAATACGTAAGTACACACAGAAACACAAACACAATTTAATTTTTTGAGACAATAATATGTACCAAACACTTAAGAGGAAATAGTAACATCAATCAACTGAAATTTCTATAAATAATAATCTTATTCAAATATAATGAGTTCAAGAGTTCCCGGGTTTTGTAGAAGAGAATGTCCACGTTTTTCTTTAGTTTAGCTAAATTAAATCCATCAAATCCGATCGCTGCTAATTACAGCATAACCTACAAGAAAAGCAACTCTTAATGGCATGTTTTTATAGACTTACCTCATAATATGATCACACCGATTTAAAAAATACGAATATGTTAAAAGTTTTTTTTAATAATACGTGTATTAAATATAAACGATTGCTTTCACAGGTACAATCTACAGAACCTCAGACAATAGAAGATACCGAGAATTCAGAAGAAGATCGCCGAAGACGAAGAAGGGTGAAAAATATACTTCAAGGACATAAACCTTTTAATTGCACAGATGACCCTAATGAAAACACCAATGAAAATGTTGATAAAAAGACGACTACTACGACTACAACTATCACTACCACAACAACAACTACTTAGAAATCGATCCTTCTTACAGCTGGCTTCAAGAAAACTATTGATGGGTCATAGTTATTACAGTCGGGCTGTTAAGCTATCTCACGCTTTGGAAAGAGATAAACACTTCCCATTAAGGCAATGGAAAAACAAATTTAATACACCGCTTTCAATCGTGACACGTTTAAATAAATTGCAAACGCCATAACCTGCAGTACTACCTCGAGTCAAGGCTTAAGTACAGTATCCCTAACAGCCACAAGAAGAATCAAAATTTGCCATAAAATAATATTGCGCGTTAGCAATTTTAACATTGGCCATATTGGTAATTGGAGGCAAAATGGTTGTATTTTCATTTCATCCTTGGTATCTACCCAAGACCCATAATAAGGAAGAACTGTTTTGGAAACCAGTAGTACTTCGGTATGCTCAAAATAATGAAGCAAAAGCTGTTCTTAGTAGTTTATGCTATGAAGTGTTAGTACTCGTAGTTGACAAAACAGCTTATCTACCGTCCGCTACATGGTCCCAAGATTCGAAATGACTGGTACGGTACGTAACATAGTTTTCTGTAGCTAAAATTCAGCACAGTGGCGTAGCGTCGATTTTTGCCAACCTTAAATTTGTTGCCCTCTCTATTTTCACAATTACAATAGTAGTTATTAGTTCAGGCAGGCTCGCCTCGATTGTGTTTTTGTGTTAGCCTACCGTCGCCACCTTTGTGCTGTTCAGAATATCGCTTTCTCAATAGAGGTGGTTGATAAATAACGTCACGATGAAAAAATCACGATGATCCGCCGTCAAACAATATCACCGTAACTCGTTCCGAAGGAACAACGTTCCAAAGTCACATATGTTCCTCCGTTCCAATAGCTATCCCCGTCACTCACATCACGACATACGTGTTTGATACAATGCGCGATCTCCGTTCCGTGGTGACTGAGCGCGCCACTCGTTGTAGTTCTCTTCAAATCGGGCCATTTCGGCGATGGGAGTCAATGAAATAGGATGACTTTCTTTGCTCACTCACGAGGGTCGTAGGTGCTTATAGTACTAGGCGGGTAAAAAAAAATCTGCAGCAGTTATTATAAACCTATTTATGAAGAAAGTAAAATATATTTGTTTTATTATAGGAAGAGTTGGTATTTTATATTTATGTATAATCTATTTTGTGTATTGTACATTACACTTTATTGCTATTTTTAACAATCCAAAGATTCGCATTAAATAAGTAACAAACAGAATTACATTAAATACAAAATCAACTTTATGAATGGAATTCAAACTTATTACAAAGGGAGTAAAAACTTAAATCATTCTATAAAAAACGACTATAAGTATTAGAAAGAAGCCGCTGGCTAAAACCGTATATCGTGATGTAAGGTATAGGCGTGACAAGGTCACGGAAGTAACAGTCGTGACAAAATCACGATGATTTATCACTGTGATTTTTTTGGAACCGGAACGACAGTCACGGCGATAGAAATGTAATGCTATTCCCCATGTCTATTTCTCAAATAGTAGAATTTATTTACTAATTTTAAGTAAAAAAAATATAATTTTGACTATTTGGGGCTCGCCGTAAGGTTGCCTATTTTAGTCTTGTACTGCGACATAATAGATATAATCTATTGCACACTATATTGATGGGCAAAGTAGCTGGGAAGCGGAAGGTTGGAAGCAGAAAAATGTCATGCCTTCGTAACATCAGAGAGTGAACATCAAGACCGTGGAACAACTGTTCGGGCTTTGGAGAAAGAAAGATATAGAAAACTGACTGCCGACCTTCAACAATGGAGAGGCACTTGAAGAAGAAGGGCTCGCCACAGCTCCCATTGCTGTGCCGCCTGGAGCCAAGCCCCCCTCTGCACCCCCGACGCTACGCCACTGATTCTGCTAATCTGCAGAAATTTTTCTGCTTATGGATTAAGTTATATTTCAAGCTAAGGTTTGTCCATGGATTAATATCCCATGAATTTATATTGTACCCTTTTGTAGCACCTGTAATGTGTATATTTTTATTTATAATTATTATTTTAAAAATAAGACAAATTTTATAATAGGTAGTGCCTACTTAGTTAATATGTCAAATTATATGTAGGATTAGGTAACCACAATTTGTGTCCCTTGGTTTGACCATGTTAAGTTAAGCAGGAGTCAAATTGTCAGAGCGCATAGGCTTCAATCCGGACACGTTGCATTAAACTTTTTGTATTTGATGCGGAGGGTAAACTCACCGAATTGCGAAATGTGTGGGATTCCTGAGGATGTACATCATTTGGTCATGGAGTGTGTTCGGACGGAGCCTATCAGGGCGCGGTTATTTGCACAGGCTGGTTTCCGTACATTTAATGCAGGGTGGTTGATTATTTTGTCCGAGCCATCATGTAGCGCCGCGGAGATTTTGTATACATGTTTGGTTAGGTACTATTTTGATTTATCTGTCTGGATTTTATTAAGTGTTTTCTTGAGGTATTGTTTTTCTAACGGGGCTGACATGTTCAGTAACGATCAAAGTCCCTAAATAAATAAAGAGTAAAAGAAAAGGTAAACACAATAAAATTATTTGTTCGTACGTAACTTTAGATGCGCTGAATAAAAGGTGCTTAAATAATATAGCGTGTGTTACTTTATACAACTACATCCGTTTAGGTTTTTTGAAATATAAACTGTATATACCAGTCTAAAACACGGAGAGTGCTTATACACTCACACTAATAAAATATATAATAGAATATAAATATATAATTATAAAATGGAGTGAAGATGGAAAGTTACTTCAAACTCAAATATCATTTATTCCATAGGTAAAATAAATTTACACTTGAGAACGTCACTTTTAAGCTACTACACGTTCACTATGCTGACTTCCCTGAGAATAACGAACAAGAAACTCTAGGAATTGCTCTTTTCCAATAAACTTAAATGCACTTTGAATCAAATTTGTGTGGAATCTAGAGCCATGTCCTCTTTCCATATTCTTAGCATTAAACCAATAAACTACTTAGAGAGGGTATCGTTAATATGGTTATACAGACAGACATGACGTTAACGTGTTTTAAAAATCAAGGTTGTGTCGTAGAACAAACAATACTATTTCGCAATGGTCCTTAACAAGTATGGCAAATCATTAATATAAATGAGTAATAAGAAAGGTCCAAGTGTTCAGCCCTGTGGAACACCCATTTTTACCTGAGAAAGGCTCGCGTGTAGCACACATGCATTACATTGTGCGATCTGTTCGCGCGCCTTATATATGTACATGTATTTAACTGCACGCATGCAGCACGCGTGCAGCGTACATGCTGTACGTTCGCGGCAGATCTGTACGCACCCATAGATTATTGTGCTCAAGTACGAGTAGATGTTTTAGAATAGTAATAATAAAAATAAAAACATAAAAGAAAAACAGTAAAATCTTTCGCAACACAGTTTGAAATGGCACATTGTAATATGTCGAAAAAATTGCTTCCTAACGTTATGAAGAATGAAGAAACTGTGTACAATTGTTACCTATAACAAACTAATAATCATACTTGTACTCCTTGTAACTAATAATGTCCGCGCAGATGATGCAAGTGTGGGTAATTATTTCGCAAATTTATATAACTCCCAAGATGCATCGTTCGAAAATTACATTGTAAGCTTTCACTTGCGAGAAAAACTTTATTACTGGTATAATAATTCTCCAGACGCGAGTTCTGAAGCTAAAGAAGCATTCAAAGAAAATCTGGTTTTAATTGATTACTTCAATAAATATTTTACTACAGCAAAGTTTGGAGTTAACATATATTCAGGAATTTCTTTCGCTAAGTTTATACAAGGATATACAGGCTTTAACAGTACAGGTTTAACCGACGAAGGAGTAGTAGAATTTGATCCAAAATACGCCGGGAGGATCCCTGTTGAAATGGACTGGACTAGATTATTAACTAGCTATGAAATGTCTTATTGTAAAAATAGCTACGTTTATAGTGCTTTGAGTAAGTATTGTACAGCTTGTCCTAATTATAAATGTTATTTACTTGAAAATAATCCATTTGTTTTTGGAAATATATTGTAAATATTGATTGATTGTAAGTATCAAAATATGGCTGCACCGTGCCCGACCAAACAAACACATAGAAGGCGTTCGGTGCATTTTATTGACATATGTATCAAATGCGCTTACGAAGAAACACGCTTGCTTAGCAAAACCTTTTTAATCATATATTATTTTGAAAAGACGCAATATTAACTTACTCCACTGGCTTAGAGGTTTTCCTCCACTTCGTCCCTAAGACGCAATAGTTCAAAAGGACTCGGAGATGGTAGCATGAAATTTCAGACCCATGACATCCACTGTAATCTAATGATAATCTGTAATTTGATATGACGACATGGAATCATCACATCAAACAGATGGTTGAATTTCAATATTTATGTAGATGTTCATGCATTTGACTTCTAAGTTTATAACGCGTTACTCACAGCTGACGTAGAACTTTTTATCCTGATCTATGTTTCCCAAATGATATTAACAACTAGATATTTGTAAGATCATAGTTAACAAATCGCGAGCGAGCGTGTCCCACATTTTTTCATATATTTACATCTCATCAGATGAGGTAATTTATCAAACGTAAAAACTAAAAAAAGAGGTTCATATCTCAAAAATCGCATAAAAAGAATGTCGAATCTGTATTTTGGACACTGACAGCTGTATTTTGGACATTATAAATGTGTCGTGTTCATTTACCGGTGGTCTATTTTACAAAATATCCTATTGGTATCTGATCAGGACCCCGATTCAGAACTCTTCGATATTTTAACCGAATCGTTCGATTGGATATCGTTTTCGATCGAAGGGCGCTTTCCGAGCTGTTCAGAACATTCCGAGTCAAACCTTCGATTCGGATTCGGATACGATATCGTTATAGGCCGAAAATATAGGAATGAATTAGTCTCGCATTAAAATATATGAATAAAATTGAACAAAATCCGATTTTATTTAAAATAAAAGATTTCCATATTACATTCTTGCTTTTTAAACAATAGGACATTCGGTAACTTTCATTCGATAACTATGTTCTGAATAACGTTTGTAGCCTTTGCCGGTCGAGAAGTTCGAGTAATCGTACGGGTGTGACGTCATTTCGATTCGGTTTCGAATACGACAGTTTGACGTTCGATTCGGTTATTGTGAATAATAATGAAAAGAAATCGTACGATATCTAATAGAATCGGTCGACAACAATGCTATCGCAAGGTTCTGAATCGACTTGCAGAGAATCGGTCGACAACAATGTTATCACAAGGTTCAGAATCGACTTGCAGAACACTATGATTTATTTACAATACCAATTACCTTAACACATGCCTGTAAAAATGTCTGAACCATGATATTTTTATTGACATAATGGATTGGAAAATCAAACCAAAGTAATTTGTTATAGGTAATATTGAAGCTCGATATTTTGCGTGGACCGGTGAGAAAAGTGAATTGTCGGTCCGTCAAGCCTTTGAATGTGAACGGTTTGGTAATTGTCAAGACGGCGGAGTACCGCATAACGTTTTTACGTGAGTACAAAAAGAGACTTTAACAAAGCACCTTAAGCAAACTTGCAATGAGTGATTTTCAGTTCATGCCCTGGACTCTCTTTCTTCGTCGTACATCCGTCTGAAATAATTACTGTGTAACAATTAATACTCGACCAAATTGAAAGAAAATGTCAAGTATGAAGCTTCATTCGCATCATGCATCTTTTAAGAGAAAGACAGAAGATCACCTGTAGTAGATCGGGCGACAAAGGGTAATCAAACTTTCTTCACTTGGCATTTAAAATAGAACTTGATGCCGGGGGAACAAATTTAACAGTATCTTTGTAACTACAGGAATGATTCTCCCTAGATGACTCGTTCTAAGTATAATGTAGCAATAAATAGTGTTAACAGAATACCCTCTTTACCAGGAATTATTGATCTAAAGCGCTGTCATGCAGGCCTCGCGTATTAGGATAGTAGGCTCTGTCCACATGAATTTTATTGTAGAAATAAAGAAACAGAAGGTACTGCAAGGGAAAACAACAGGTAAAGTAAATGCGTAAAGGCTGTAACAAACCAAAATAAACATATAAAAACAGGTACAATGGTATAAAACCCCTTACAACGGATTAACATTTAACGTAAGTAAACTTACCACAAAATGGCCTGTATTCGTACAAATACTGATGTTTTATAAGTAGTTAGGTTACATGATTTTCAATGGTACGTGCGTGTGCTCGCTTCGGAAATTTAGTAGAGAGTGGCGACAAAAAGAAGAAAAGTAAACGTGACGATTTTTTACTTCGCGACTTTGAAATAAGAAATTTTAGAGCAGTAGAGCTCGTGAAAGAGTTCGTCCAGGGAAGTACTGCCACCTTACTTACTTCTGTCGCTAAGCAGTAATGCGAACATTACAGCGTTCCGGTTTTGAAGGATACGGGTGCTGGTGAAATTACAGCCATATGAGATCTTTGTGTTTTAAAAAAAAAAAGCTCTGAGGGCACTGCAACTGTTATGGACAGGAGTGCGTTTACCATCAGGCGCACGACTTGTTCGTCTCGTCACTTGGTAGTATTATAAAAAAATATAAGTCAGTATCATCTAGAGGCAGTTAATTGAATTAGTATTTTTAACATCGAAAAATCGATTTGGTCGAAATACATCGAAACTCCTATTTTGGATCTCACTTTCACCTTAAGGACTTTCGAGTCGGTTAATACAGACTATATACAATTATCATTTCAGGGCATTACAAAACACTGGTGGTGTATCCTATGTTACCGAATATCCGACATTTGAAGATAGAGATAACATAACAAAATATGATTGTGCTACGAAAAACCATCCGGTGAAAATTCAAATTACAGGTTATATACGCTTTAAAGTGAAAAATGAGAATGACTTAATACCTCTCTTATCGATATACGGACCTGTGTCTACAAGTAAGTAAGGGCGCTTTCAAATTAGACGCTTATAGAAGCGCTGCAGTGACACCACTATTGTGGTGTTACTAAATATCACATGGAATTAGTGTGACACGCGCGTGCCGCTTTTGTTGTCACAATTTTAGTGAACCCCAGAACAATAAATATGGTAGAAATGCTTAGTTTGCGTGACACGCATGCCAACAGTACGCGATGTTCCACGTACTTAAGCTCAGTCCTCCATTTTCGCTTTGTACGTTATGGTTGTGTCAATGTTGTACGTTATGGTTGTGGATGTAGTTAAGCAAAAAGGATCCAATCCACAAAATTATCAAAAAATGATTTATATGTACCAAACTGTTCCTAAAGTCTAACTTCTGTGCGCCTCAGACGCGACACGGCAGCGGCAGAGCTTCTAGAAGCGTCTAATTTGAAAGCACCCTAAGTTGTGAATCTTGAAAGATGTAACTAATGAATGCTACTTCGTACTTAAGTTCGAGGCCCCATTCCGACCAAATATGCAGCGGCAGGTCACTATTGGTTTCAATTAAATTTTAGCAACACGACGACGCGTTGCCTAACGTGGCCCTTATAAACCAAATGTCTCGTGCGGTCTGCAACATTCCTGGATACCTTTAGTGTATTGACGGAGCTACGTTTATTCACTATACAGAAGAAATGTATTTTATTTTCTTGACTCACTAACAATTCTCCGTAGGTTTTTGTTAACAAAAGTTGTTATGATAAAAATGCAGATGCGGTAAATTGAATGAAGTAGGTGTAGGTGAATATCTTATCCAATTGCACAACTAACAACGTAAAAGTAGACAAATAAAAATTTAAAACAATATAATAAAAGTATAAAAAATACAAGCTCTCTGTCCAAATCAAACCAAAAACTGGCAAAAAAAGAAAGAAATATAGGAGTTTATGTTCAAAGATGTTCGAAATTGAATGTGATAATGAAATCGAATTCGATGTTATTATTAAGCAATAATAACATTTTCACAAAAAAGAAATTTGTTCTAACAAAACAGTTTATGCTGTTCGTAATTAGCGGTTTTCGAACACATCTGTGATATGTGCGTAGATAAAAGTTTAATAAATTTGCAAAGAAAAATTGGACACAGGAACTAATTCCAAGAATAGTTTTGCAGAATGATGGGACGTTCCGTGGCTTAGTTGGTATAGCGTCTGGCACGGTATGCAAGAAGATGTCGGTTCGAATCCGACCGGATCGAAGGAATTTTTTCTGAGTGTTTTTTCTGAGTGTTCGATCTTTGTATTAATAATTATAACAAACTAGTGGAGTATTTTCACAAAAACTAATTGAATACCAATTCAATAAAAATTTAATTGATGGGACTAAGTTAATTTTATGATATCGACTACAAAGCTGTATACAAAAACTCGTCAATAGATGCAAAAAAAAAATTATATGAATTTTGTTGTTTTGAATGTTGTATTAAGACACAACAAAAGAAAAAAGAAAAACAATTTAATAAAATGTACAATTTAGGACCTTTTGTAACGGCTAAATTAATGTTATAACTGTATCGCTACGATTTTTATACATACATAAATATAGGTGACAGTGCATTAGTAGGAGCACGAGGATATATTTATCCTTTTGGTCCTACCAGTAGGAGCACCCAGTCAGAGCATGAGGAAACGGCCCTTTAAACTCATTTGATATTTTTTTTATTATATCAGTAGTTTGCCCACATATATCTACTCTCCTATATACCTACCGCACAAAAACTGTAATTATGTATTTTTTTATATTGACAAAAGTGCAATAAATATCTAAAAGTAATTTTTCAAACAATACTCATTTTAAAGTTTTTAGTTGAAATCACCATTCCACTACTAACGCCAACGGTAACAGTATTTGATTTGCTTTTAAAATTTTCAGCAATATGTGTGTCGGACAGTTTGAAAAATTATCAAGAAGGTGTTTATGATTCTGATGATTGCGGTACTAATGCTACTAATCACGCTGTTCTAGTAGCTGGTTATGGTTATGGTAAGTAAGTAATCAGCATTAAAACTACTGACTTTGCATTCAAAGTGTTAAAAAATGTTCTTAACATCATAATTTCAGACGAATTTTTGTCATGCCAACCACCCTGAACGATAGTTAAAAAAATAAGTAATTTAATAATAATACTTTCACATTGCATTTATAAGAAAATAACCTCCATTCATTTTGATATGTAACACGTTCTAAACAATACCGTCACTAAACCAAAATCTGGCTTTTCAAATATAAACTTCTTTTCAAAGTGTTAAACGTTAAACGTCATTTTCCGAAAGTTCAGTTTTTCGTATAATGACGATGTTGATTTCAACGTGCGATATGTATGTATACGACATAGTAATAGATATAAGGGAATATATATATACAGGCACATGGGACTTGTCAACTTATGTCTGTGGATTACGGGCGCAGTGGCAGTGCCCATCAGATCTTTGCGATTTGAAGCTCGTGAGTGACACTACAACTGGTATGAACAGGCGTTTAAGTTACCATCAAGCGCACGACTTGTTCGTCCCGTCATTTGATATAATAAAAAAGTAAATTAGTCAATAACTTTTTTATGCTGAAATTGGAGAGTTTTAAAATTTCACATACCGATACATATTGTAATTTGTTTCGTACAGTTCTTATTATTTGTATGACTTTCATGTGATAAAATTGCTTTTGACGTAACGCGTAAGCTTTATTATAAGAATATTTAGATAGATTATGTTATAAATCTACCAGTAGGGTTAGCACGAAAAGGCGCGACTTGCGCGAGAGCGACATAAAGTGCGACATACTCTATGCGAGATTAGCAGTATCTCGCACTTTATGTCGCTCTCGCGCTTGTCGCGCCCTAATATGCTAGCCCTACAAGCCGCATAGACAAAGGCACCGCATAAAATAAGTTTTTGTTTATTGTTGATTTTCAGACACAACACTGAAGCTACCGTTCTGGAGAATACTTACAGCGTGGGGTGAGGATTGGGGAGAAGATGGATATTTTCGATTGAGAAGAGGGAATCACACCTGTAATTTTGCACGCGAGTATATTGCCACAGCTATCGTCCAACCTGTCCAACCAAATAACATACGCTCGGTAGATAATATTAATTTAATATTAATATAAATTAACAATTTCTTAAATGAAAACAAAACTAGTAAGTGTGCATTTGACCTCCATCTCACCTGATTAAATCTGATGAAATTAGGAAATGAAATTATTTTTCCGGATTTAAATCGCGTATATTTGTTTTTTCAAACAAACCGACGTTTCGGGCCCTTTACAGGCAAAAGGTGACCATGGGAAAACGTCGGTTTGTTTGAAAAAACAAATATACGCGATTTAAATCCGGAAAAATGGTTTCATTTCCTAATTTTAATAAATTTTCAATTTTCTGTTTATCGTGAAAATTTTTTTGTTACAAGTAACGAAGGTAAATCTAACACCGCTGCGGTATGGTCGCTTCTTTTTTGGAGTCCCATCGTTCAGCTGTTGACCGCTAGTTTCAGCACATTGATTAAAATTTATTTATTTATTTTATGAAATATATATTATATAATATTAAAAATTATTAATGTGTTAGTTTTGGCGACAACGGTTCTGATATTTTTTCTCTTTTGTGTTTGATAGAAATATGTACACAACCATTTGGAACCGAAAAAATATTTTCATTTAAAATGTGTAACACTCACAAAAAACTAGGAACTCGAGACACAATACTGTAAAAGTATAGGTAATTAACTAAATGTAGACAAACCGTAATGAAGTAGTTTATGAGGTATTTCTTGGTTACTAATCGTAAAATTATAATGAACTTATTGTAAATAGTTCTAAAGATATGATAATATTTACAGCTAATAGACAACATTTCTGCCTGCTAATACTACTATAGCAACTATTAAGTACTCCGTGATATTACTGAATACTTAAATCGTAAATAAAAGCTTAACTTAAATATATAAATTAGGATGATTAATATCACATATAACAAATTTCCTACGATAAACAACCTAAAATCCAGGAGTAAAAAGATGCAGACGTACGGGGAGAAGGCGAAGGCAGTTCGCTGCTCGCCTGATCCCCTAGTGAGACCAGCGGGCTCTGGACAGGGACTCCGGAGCCTGCATTGCACGGCCTCACTCGTCTGGGGGGCGGGTCGGAGGACAACCGACTCGTCCCTCCGTTGGCGCGGGAGCCCTGGCGCAAGCTAGGGCGGCGTCGTGGTGAATGTTCACTGATCCCACGGCGCCGACTCAACCGGCGAGAGGGAAACCCGGGGGGGTTTTAGTGGGGTAGGCCTTCCAGTGTGGACGGAGAGTCCCCACATAACCCCTGAGTCTCCCTGGGCTCAGGGGTATCCATAAAGATTTACCCCCGTCAAAAAAAAAGGAGTAAAAAGATGGCCAGTTAATAACATGCGACCAAATCAAAGAATACGGCAGTAATACGACGAATCAAACTCACTGCTAAATTATTGTATTTGTCCGGTTAACCCAATACCATTACAACTAGGTACGTTTGGTTTGCTTACAAGTGACAGCAGAAGTTTCTTTACATTTAGTAAAATATCTAAACCTACTCTAGTCATGCTCTCTTCGTGGCTGAACAGTTACTATACTGGTCTGCCACGCAGAGGTCCCGGGTTCGATACCCAAAAAAAAAATGTTACTCTTGTGACTTTGGGTATAAAGTGTATGTACATGACACCGGATACAGGGTTTCCCTAGTGCGGGGCTATAATGGTGTGCGTGATTGTTATTATTTTTATGTCTATATAATATTTCTTTTCTATTCCTAACAGGTCCGTAATAATATTGCAAGGACAGCTGCCGTCACCACTAACTACAAGTTACAAAATTTTGCAGCAACTTCTGTCTATCCATATCAAATAAGTTAGCATTGAAAATAATAGAGGTCATTTACAGACGTGGAAAATATTCGAGTTGCATTTTGCAATTAAAAACTTTGTTAAATTTTTCGTTTTTGCGAATGCAACAGAATTTTTGAAATAAAATTTAATATAACTTTCAAAGCATTAACTAAACGTTCGTCAAGGGCACATTACATAGGGCGGAGGTTCCATTTTGAACCAATCAACTAACACCACATGTTTATTTCATCCCTACCACAATTTAACGAACTTTTGTATGAACTCAAAAAGGTCAAAAAGAACGTTCACTTTTGAATTGTACTTCCTTAAGAGACCACCACTGTTTGTTTATTTTCAATATATTACAGTCAACTTAAATCGACTTTATTTTTACGAGCTCGTCGAGATCCTTTACATCTTCTACTTCTACGGTGTGGAATAAACAAAAATATAACTACGTCTATAATTTACATCTACAGAAAGGCAAACCTGCTAAATCAAATGAGATATTTGTCACCCAGTCTCATGAAGCGTGCGCGCAGTGACGTCACATCGGCGCCCGCGCCGTTAATGAGGAAGGAACGAACCTCGACCGGGATGTGGACAATTAGCTTGGTCATAACAAATCCCCGGGAAGCGTCCATAATCAGGACGCGAGGATAAACCGGCATGATCATTACCGTATCGCTTAATTAGCGGGTGCCCACTATGCATTGTAGTTCTACTAATACGTACTTTATTTTTCTTATTGCAATCAAGCAAAATGTAACCTTCGTTTGTTTTATGATAACACGTGATGGGACGAACAAGTCGTGCGCTTGGTGGTAAGCGACATGCCTATCCATTACAGTTGTAGTACCACTCAAGGTTTTATGGCATAGGTCTGAGAGGTACCGCCACTGCGCACAGAGTTTTAAAAAATATTCAAATTAAAGAAAGTTAAAACAGTGAGACACTAAAACCCCGAAATTTTTCACATCATGTCTTGTTCGGAAAACTTTTTCCGGCTTCTTGATTGCACAAATACCATTAATGTTTAATGGTTTAAGTATCGACAGAGTTAATGAGTATGTTTACCTCGAACAAACTTTTATAACTATCTAAAGAAAAATGGACAGAACAATGAACGCAAAGGTCAAATCTGACTAAATATAGGATGCTTTTCAAAAACTGTCCAGTGTACTCAAATGTAATGTACCTGAAAAGAACGAATTTGTCCATAACACTCATACAAAATAGAAATTTTGGCTATAAATGGCTTCTCTTGCAACAGAAGTCTTTAAGTTGCTGGTCGAATGTGGAATAGTAATCCGTAGTTGTCTGGTGTCAGTCATTTGTACCCTTCGACGTCCTGATTTTATATACTTTACATATTATCACTCGTAACTAGCAAATAAAGTTTATGTTTAAGTTAGATTAACGATGATTGCTTCTGTTGTAGACCTTTTTTGTTTGTTCAGAATTGTTGTAATTATGTTCCGACAATGTCTGACAGAGAACACAGGCGGACACTAAAAACAACACTATGCTGATGTTTCGTCCATTTCATAAACTTAGTAATAAAAATCAGAGCTACTTGTATTTTGTGATTTTTCATATATTTTTCAGGGGAGTATGTTTAGTTTTGCCGACTATTTAAATTATTTACGTCCTGTTTTAAATTCAATTTTAAAACCTAACCTTAATAAAATTAATATTTAATTTTAAAACAGGACACAAATATGCTTCCCTGAAAAAGTTTTCGAAATGGCGCTTTCGCCCTTGCGACAAAACACCGACCATATAATTATATGTAGGTATTTGACGTAAAAATCCTATTTAAATTAAATTATGTACACTACATTTCATAACTCTCTTATTTCAAAGTTTATCAAGTAGATTTATTTCATTGTACGTATTTACAAGGCACTCAAAGAAAAATTGTATTGAAATCATTACAATTACGACAATTTCATAATTACAATTATGAAATTGTCGCAGAAAATAATTGGGGTTAAAGGGTTCTTGAGTATATTATTATATCTTGTGGAAGCAGAAGAAATATGGGGAGGCAACTGATGAGATTGCTGAGATTGTAATGTGATTCGGAAATGCCTTGACGCAAAATTTGATCACTAGAACCGGAAGAGTTGCGGAAAAATGTACGAATGTAATAATGACCCAAAACAGTAGCAAATAGATTAAAAAATACCATTGCCAATTTGTTGCCATTTTCTCTCCATAAGTTAATTCATCATCAAATTTAAGAGTTATACGTTCTTGTTGGTGGAGCACCTTCCAGCTATCTCTCTTATAAGTCAGCTCCTTGACCTCCTTATACGACGCGACACGGGCCTTTTCCTTTTCCCTCGTCAGTACTCTATAGTATTCAGGATCGTTCTTTTCTCGTCTACCATTCTCAATACTTCCTCATTGGTTTTCTTTTCTATCCAACTTATGCCCTTCATCCTCCTCCATCACCATATCTCAAAAGCTTTAGACCTTTCCCTCACTCTTTGAGTCAGTGTTAATGTTTCACATCCATAAAGTGCAAGACTCCAAATGTACACTCTAATTAGATGTTCCTTGTTCTTGCATCACAAGCAGCGTGATTTTAAAAGTTGTTTATTATAGTTAAAAGCTGTTTTTGCTATAGCAATTCGTGCAACAATATCAGGTGTACGCCATAAGTTAATTAAGGTCCCTGAATTATTAACAAAATTATCTGTTGGCCTTTTAGGAATTTTTCCAACTCAAAATTACGATTTTAATGTAGCATACCAGTAAGATGATAATTCTATAAGTGTACATTTCAACGGAAAAATAATAAATAAATAAAGTTCAACAAGCACCTAAATAAAAAAAATAGAAAAATACATAAAATATATATTCAAATTATATTTATTGCTATCCATAAAATTTACTGTGTACGTATACAACAAAATGTCAAAGACAAACACGTAATTCTACAAAATGTTAGCCAAGATACTAATAAACATATTTGGATTGACTATTTTAGTAAATAAGGTATGGACTCAAAATAATGAAAATACAAGTACATCAACAATACAGAATAGAAGACACCCGGAGCCGTTTACTCTTCCATTGTCACAGGATTACTTTAACCTCGAGGAAATTCAATTGAAGAAAAAAATTTATGAAGACAACAAGATTGATGCATTATTTTTTCAACATGCGAAGTCTACCGGTTTACAAGGACTGGAAAAATTTGATGAAGAAAAATATTACCTCGTATTTCGCCAAAACATTCTACTGATGAATCGCCTTTATAACATTTATAACACCACCATGTTTTCAATTAATGCTTATACTCATTATACGTTCGACGAGTTTACGAATTGGTTCACGGGTTTCAATAGCACGGGATTGAGAGAAGACGATGTTACATTGTTTAATAGAAGCGTCATACAAGAGTTGCCGCCGGTGATAGATTGGTCTGATGATATTTTGCTGGACTATTTTCAAGATACTAAGTGTAAAAATAGCTATGTATTGAGTGCATTAAGTAAGTTTTCTTAATTTTGTGTTACAGAAAGTTTACAAATACAAATCCTCATGACATAAATTGACAAATCCCATGTACCTATAATTTCACCAGTACCCTTACCCTTCCAAGCCGGAACGCAGTAATGCTTAAATTAGGTACTGCTTGGCGGCAGAAATAGGAAACGTGGCAGTACTTCACTGGGCGAATTCTTTCATAAGGAGCTCTACTGCTACTAAAAATTTGACTCTAATTATGTGTATTTTAATTTGTTTCTAATTGTGTATATAATCATGTTTCCTGGTGACAGGCGCAGTGGCCGTGTCCCTCAGTCTTTTGCGATTTAAACCTGTGAGTGGTACTGCAACTGCTATGGACAAATGTGTCGCTGAACACCAGACGCACGACATATTTGTCCGTGACTTGGTATCACTAAAAATAAAAAAAATCATAAACGTAATCTTTTTTTGAAATTATCAAAGCATTTATTTCGTTGATTCGCTAAACCAGAGCAGGAAAATGAAATATGTAAATTTCTTTACCAAATTATAGAAAGGTGAATTTATGAAATTCTTGAGAGATTTGATCTTTTGCCAGCATTATGTTACGGCGTCAACAAAGGTCAGAATTCACAGAAGCAGTATTGGCTCCGTTGCCTATTACAAATATTTTTTTTTTGCAATTTTTTTTTATTTGACTGCCTCCGTGGCCGAACGGTTACCACTGCCACGCAGAGGTCCCAGGGTCGATTCCCGGGCCGGGAGAAATATTTATATGGCCTACATTTATTTCTCTCGTGAGTTTGGGTATAATTTGTGGTTACAGACATACATATAGACATGTGTGTGTCCATAGCACCCGCGACACAGGATTTCCCTAGTGCGGGGCTATGTTGAGTGTCTGCGTTATTATTATTGCTAATTTACTTTAGCCGCAAAACGTTGTAATTGTAAAGCCATCCGCTAACTAAATTAGTAAATAAAGCGAACGTTAATTAAACATTTACTGGTTCGGAATCCGGGACTATACAAGTCCATAAAACTCGGACCCACTTCAGAATCCGAGACAATACGAATATAAAAATACGAGTACACCTAGAGATAAAATGACCTCTGTGACATTTCGGACCGTTCTCGGATTCGGAAAGGGGTCTACTCTCGATCTCCGAAACAATGACTGCCAAATAAGCAATACTTGACCAAATTAAAAGACGCGTTATGCGAATGAAGCTTCATACTGGATACTTGTCTTTTAATTTTGTCGAATATTACTTATTTGACAGTAATTGTTTCGGACGGATGTCGGACGGACATCGAGAGTAGCCCTCTAATACGAATCGGACGTATCGCGCAAACGCTCTAAATGTTTTGTCAAATTACAATTTAAGCTGAAGATCGACAAACTTATTTGAAGTATGAGTTGTAGCGCTAGTTGTAACTGTTGTTGATAGTTTATTTGGAATTTTCTGGAATCAATAGTTCCTTCTATTCGCATATTATCACAGATAACTTCGTCGAAATATATTTACAATGCATTTTGCGATGTGTTATGCCGTACAATATGGCGCAGATTTGACAGTTGTTGCGTGTCGCAATAACGAAAAAGTAAATTAAATTTATTTCAACAGGTAACATTGAAGCACAATATTATGCATCTAGTGGCAACAAGAAGCTTGGGTATTTATCCGTCAGACAAGCATTTGAATGTGAGAGGCAAGGTTCTTGTGAATACGGTGGAGTACCACACTATGTATTCAAGTAAGTCTTCATGTTACAAATTCATTTAAGGGCGCGTTCCCATTGTGTCGTAGCGTTTTATTTATCGTTGGGCGACTGTTACGTCTAGCCTGTTCCCATATCACGACTATCTGTCGTGACTGTGTCGTGAACGTTATTTTATCGTTGAACGACGGTCTAGCTGTTGCCATTAGAGCGTGACGACAGAATCATTTGAAGCTGCGATTATCTGTCATTACATTTTTCATGGCGTTTTATTTATCGTCGTACAACTGTTGTTATAGGTCAAAGAAAATATATTTTTTTAAAACAATTTCTTAAGCAAGTTTTACTTACTAGATATTTAATGTTTACAGGGCCTTAAAAGATACCGGAGGGGTCTCATTACAGTATATGTATCCATATTTTGAACAGGCCAATACAAAGGGTGATACTTGTCAGACGTCAAAAGATAATGTGGCTATTTTAATTGACGACTACATACGTCTGAAAGTAGACAAGGAAGAAGATTTGTTGTACCTTCTGGCGTATTATGGTCCTGTGGTTACCAGTAAGTTTTATTATTTATTTTATATTATTCCTTTTTGGGCAAAAGGAACAAATTTTTTCTGTTAAATTGCAGGTGAGAGGTAAAGGCCCTTACGGCCATATTTTGGAATTTAGATTTTTTTTACAAATATTGCTTTAGAATACTTAAAATCGCGCAATGGTGAAAGATATTAAGTTCTATGTGTCATACAATAGAACTTGTTATGTGTATAACCCATGTGTAATTATTATTATTGTTTTTGTATCCAGGTTTAATTTGTTAGTATTGCAAATAATAACTATTTTTTAATTATTTATTCTTCAGTAGTTTATTAGTAATGCATCACCACTTCTCAGTTTTTGTAGTAACTAGTGGTTAACGGTGTTGGTGACACAATCAAATTACATATTCACTGTAAAAACATTTACTATTAAGTTTTAATTGTGTGTACTGTTTGTTGACTCAAATAAAAAAAAATTGAAGGTCAATACGGTTAGCTAATTTTTCTCAATATTTCATTCAATCAATGAAATTTTTTTCAGCAATATACGTCTCTGAGAGCATAAGACACTACTCTAATGGTGTATTGGATCCTATTGACTGCGGTAATAACGCAACCAATCATGCTGTGCTCCTAGATGGATATGGAGTGGGTTTGTATAGTTTTGGACCTCTTTTGTTAGATAATTTAGTTCCGTGATTTTGAAGTCAAAATGTTAAATGTTTATTCATATTGGCAGAGATTAACATGGCTCATCTGATGTCATTTATATATTTTGTTATCTTAATTATTACAATTTCAGACAATAAATACAACTTACCATATTGGCATGTGAAAAGCACGTGGGAAGGATGGGGATATAAAGACCATATTCGACTAATTAGAGGCAAGGGCTTCGTGTGCAATCTTGGACGTGAATACATAGCGACCGTTATTGTCAAACCGAACGTAACACAAGTTAGTAAGAATGTGATTAAAATCGTTAGTTTAGTAAATTCTGGGTAACACATTCACATACCTGGATATACATTTGTACCATCGAGTATATAACCAGAAATACAGACGACATGTAATTTAATTTGTTTAAAACTGCTCTGCCAAATCATTACTATGACAACTGCGCTTCGATTGGCCAGCCCGAATTCGAAACAATTGACGGGTGTCCTCAATTGTTTCACTTCAGTTTGACTTGAGCTTTGCTATATTGGACAAAAATATTTAATTACCGATGAAATGTGATTACTTTTGTTTTGTAATTAGATGTTTTGCTGGTTTTTCCCACACCACCGAATGGACCACCATTGTTAGAGATTATTAACTTTATTACAATAAATACAGAATATTTTTGAAATAAACGGAGACGTATACGTAGGTCAGTTGTTGGCGCTTTACTATTCATTGTTCTAATTTGTGATTTCAGCGCAAACGAGAGTTGATATTTAAAAGTGATATAAGGCCAATTTACCTGATGAATTGCCAGGAATAGATAGCCCTTATTTCGTCTCTATTTCTGGTTATGTACTCGATGACTTGTATTTACAATCAAAAAATATTTAGTAATTGAGTTCGCATTTGTCTCAACGGGCAATTGCCTTATAGCATTTGTTATTAGACATAAATGGTTATTTGTGAATCCTCATACGACTGCATTACTAACGTCATAAAAACAACTTTTGTTCTTTGACTTTTAATTCGTCAGATTTTACTTTCATACAACAATAAACATATTTAAAATATGTTTATTGTCTAAATGGTGATAACTCTGTGCAAATTGGGGGAGTAGTCAGAGAGGACGCTTGCACGTTTGAACTTACTACATAGATTTTAAGACTTTCGTGGTTATTCACTAAATGATTATCACT